CTTCTCGGCTTTTACTTGCTCATACTTATATATATATATATATATATATATATATATATATATATTTAATTCTTTTCTTTTTTCTGAATTCAAATGTATATTCCAGAGAAGATACTTGCCTTTTGATTTCAAAATTTTCACAATTCCAAAGTATAGAAACTGGATCTACTAGAATGAAAAGTTTCAAGTGAGAATTGATGAACTAGTGCACTAGTTTTAAGCTTTTGGTTGGATTCTTTTGTTCTTTTTTTTTTATAACAATTTTGAATGATAATGCTCTGTATTTTCTCTATTTTCCAGCCACCAAACTTTTAAAATTTGAATCCAAAACAAATAGTGCACTAGAAGTAAGATGATTCACTTAAAATTTTCAAGTTACACAAAGTTGATTCAAGAGAATTATGGAAAGTGAATTGAAAACTTAAGTACACAAAGGAAACCTAACACTAAGAATTCATCAATGATCTAATGATGAACATGAACTCAAATATGTAAAACAAAAGCACATATAGGTAGGCACAAAGATTATAAGCAAAAACCGTGACCAATAGTAGACAAACACAACACAAAAGAAAATAGGTTAAACAAGCTAGTCTAGGAATTTTTAACATACAAAGAACTACACATAACTTTCTAAGACAAAACAAAGGATTCAAAAATAAAACTAATGCAATGTAATGAAGTCCAATCACAGACACATGCTAAGAAATGGAGAAGACACAAGTAAAAACAACACAATAGCACAAGTTGAATCCTCTGGATCTACTAGAATGAAAAGTTTCAAGTGAGAATTGATGAACTAGTGCACTAGTTTTAAGCTTTTGGTTGGATTCTTTTGTTCTTTTTTTTTTTTAACAATTTTGAATGATAATGCTCTGTATTTTCTCTATTTTCCAGCCACCAAACTTTTAAAATTTGAATCCAAAACAAATAGTGCACTAGAAGTAAGATGATTCACTTAAAATTTTCAAGTTACACAAAGTTGATTCAAGAGAATTATGGAAAGTGAATTGAAAACTTAAGTACACAAAGGAAACCTAACACTAAGAATTCATCAATGATCTAATGATGAACATGAACTCAAATATGTAAAACAAAAGCACATATAGGTAGGCACAAAGATTATAAGCAAAAACCGTGACCAATAGTAGACAAACACAACACAAAAGAAAATAGGTTAAACAAGCTAGTCTAGGAATTTTTAACATACAAAGAACTACACATAACTTTCTAAGACAAAACAAAGGATTCAAAAATAAAACTAATGCAATGTAATGAAGTCCAATCACAGACACATGCTAAGAAATGGAGAAGACACAAGTAAAAACAACACAATAGCACAAGTTGAATCCTAGTTTCATTGATTGCGGATTGAAA